AAGCCGAGACGGGCGGATCACGAGGTCAGGAGATCGAGACCATCCTGGCTAACACGGTGAAACCCCATCTCTACTAAAAATACAAAAAAACTAGCCAGGCGAGGTGGCGGGCGCCTGTAGTCCCAGCTACTCCGGAGGCTGAGGCAGGAGAATGGCGTGAACCCAGGTGGTGGAGCTTGCAGTGAGCTGAGATCCGGCCACTGCACTCCAGCCTGGATGACAGAGCAAGACTCCGTCTCAAAAAAAAAAAAAAGAATATTAGTAGCAACCATATATTGACTGCTTATTGTTTACTGGGGACTGTGCCAGAGCCTGTCTCATTTAAATCCGTCTAACCATCCCGGGAGGTCGGTGCTATTACCTCCCATATTACAGCTGAGGAAATGAAGGCAAAGTAGTAACTTGCCCCAGGACACACTTTAATATGCTCTCCCTTTCGGAGCAGAAAGAGAAGTCACAGCACCCCTCCCTCCACTTCTGTGATTCCAGCCAGGGTGCACAGTAATGTGGTTCACCTGTGTTAAAACACTATATTTTTGCTATAGTTATTTTTTATTTATTCATTTTTCTTTGTTCCTTCTTTTTTTTCTGTCTCTGCTGCTTAAGTTGGAATATTTTCTAGAATCTTAATAGCCCAATGATATCCTACTTCTAGCAGTCTGCATTTGTTTATGGAGCAAGCTTGGGACCATCAGCTTCTCTCTGACAAGTCTTGGGTTGTGCATCAGCCCTTTCTCAGAGAATTGAGATGTGAAGCTCACACGCCCACAGAGGAGAGGCCTTCTTTGCTGCTGCCCAAAGGGTCTGAGGACCCTGCAGTGGAACTTTCCTCTGAACTCTGCCTCTCGTAGTCCAGGGGAAATCTCGGCTACCCTGGCTTAGTGGCTATAATATCAAACCGTTGTCCACTGACCTATTGCTTGTTTTTTTGTTTGTTTGTTTTTTTCAGGGGGACAGAGTCTCACTCTGTCGCCCAGGCTGGAGGGCAGTGGCATGATCTTGGCTCACTGCAACCTCTGTGTCCCAGGTTCCAGCGATTCTCATGCCTCTGTCTTTTGAGTAGCTGGGATTACAGGTGCATGCCACCATGCTTGGCTAATTTTTGTGTTTTTAGTAGAGGCGGGGTTTCATCACGTTGGCCAGGCTGGTCTGGAATTCCTGACCTCAAATGATCCACCTAGCTCAGCCTCCCAAAGTGTTGGGATTACAGGCCTGAGCCATTGCACCTGGCCCTGTTTTTGACCTCAGTTTCCCCCATAATCTATAGTTTCCTTCTCTTCCCACTCAGGTCAATTAGAGCATCATGGTTAACCAACCTTGGATTTTAGAACTGACAGCCTGAGTTTGAGCTCAGCTTGGTCACTTAGTAGCTGTGTGGCTTTGAACAATTTAGTTAACATCTTAGTCTTAGTTTTCTCTTGCAAAATGGGGATGAAGATAATTGAGCCGACTTCTCTTAACAATCCTATGAAGAGCTTTAACAATCCTATGAAGAGCTTAGCACATCGATGCACAGATATTTGAACACTGAATGAACGTGTTTGCCATGAATACTTTTGCCCACAGACGTTCCAACCATGGGTTTTAGCCTTTCCTTCTAAAGGTTTCTCAAGAAGCCAAATGAGCCCAGGATCTGGTCAGTACAAAAATCCACATGTACAGGTAACCTTTTAAAATGACCCTCAAAAATGGCCAGTCTCAAGAACAACACCTGTCATCTTAGATTCTTTCCATTTCATGAGCATGAATACACATCAGGCACAAGGAAGGGACCAGAGAAAAATTGCATCTTTGCGCCTTCTCCTTGTGGCTTCCCTCTCATACAGTCATGACAGCCGCAGGCTGACAGTGGGGGAGAACAAACAAAGCCGGTGGATAGGGCCCTGCCCACAGGCCCCAAGGCTACCGAGGCTGCCGCCAGCTCTGCTGCTTTGTAGCCAGGTGTCCTTGGGTGAGTCACGTCACCTCTCCAGACATCTGTCTTGTTATCTGCAAAAAAGTGGGGAAGGAGGGCGTTGGTTTTATTTTATTTTTATTTTTTTATTCTTATTTTATTTTATTTTATGTAGACATGGGTCTCACTCTGTCTCCCAGACTGGAGTGCAGTGGTGCAATCTTGGCTCACTACAACCTCCACCTCCCCAACTCAAGTGATTCTCGTGCCTTAGCCTCCTGAATAGCTGGGATTACAGGCATGTGCCACCACGCCTGGCTAATTTTTGTATATTCTGTAGAGGTGGGGTTTCACCATGTTGGCCAGGGTGGTCTCAAACTCCTGGCTTCAAGTGATCCACCCACCTCGGCCTCCCAAAGTGCTGGGATTATAGGTGTGAGCCACCACACCTGGCCTAGTTTTTGTTGTTGTTGTTACTGTTGTTGTTTTTTAAAACTAATATTTCAGGGCATTAATCTGGAACCTTCACAAGTCAGAGGGATCCTCTGTTGGGTAGGATTTCACACCTGTGAGGGCAAGCATGGCCATTTCAGATGCTCTAGAGAACTGGTTCCTGTCTGTGCTCAGGAAGTGAGGACCCACCTTCCTTCCACTGGACTTTCCACTGAAAAGTCTCCTCTTTCCATGGTGATAAACCTAGGCTTCAGCCTTAGAACTAGAAGTCAGCTCTTGGGCTCTAAAATCCACACTTGGTTTAACCATGACATTCTTTTATGAAATTTTACATGTTTCCTCTTTGAAAATGTCTTTTCACACAGGTGGGTACTGTCAAATACTGATTACATGGCAGAAGTCACATGGCAGGAAGATAGTTTATCTCTGATGATGGAAAAGGGGTTATCTATACAAAGCAGGACAATTTCCTTCCAACTCTTGCTTCCTCAGTTTCTCCCCATCACATGTGTGGACTGTAACTCATCTTTTCTTGTCACTGTTGTTATAAAAATGGAGAAGGAAAAATAACCCAGTAAAACCTGACAGCTAGCAAGGATGAGTCCTAAGAATTGACTGGGAGCAATAATTGTTTTTCAAGCTAGGGAACTGGAGGCAATTTGCTTCTGATGTAAGATGACCCTCATATTGTGTCTGCTGGTACCCAGCTCTCCTATGGCCATGGGTTTAAAGTGCACAGCTGTTGTCTTTGACAACGTGTACTCCTGGCATTTGGTCAGTCCCTTAGAAGCAGGTAGTTCAGTAATGATACCTTATCCCAGAAGTTATCAAACTTTTTCTGTACGGGACCAGCTGGCAATTTTTTTTTTTTTTTAATAGTTTCACTCTGTCACCCAGGCTGAAATGCAGTAGTGCAATCTTGGCTCACTGCAACCTCTGCCTCCTGGGTTCAAGTGATTCTCCTGCCTCAGCCTCCCAAGTAGCTGGGATTAGATGTGCGCACCACTATGCCTGGCTAATTTTTGTATTTTTAGTAGAGACGGGGTTTCGCTATGTTGGCCAGGCTGGTGTCAAACTCCTGACCTCGGGTGATCCATCCTCCTCGGCTTCCCTAAGTGCTGGAATTACAGGCGTGAGCCACCGCGCCTGGCCCAGATAGTAAATATTTTAAGCTTTGCAGGTCAAGAGGCAAAATCAAGGGTATTATGAGACTTACCTCAATAATAAGAGAAGAAACAAAATTTTCACAGATTTTTTTTTATTGGCAAAATTCACAACATAATAATTGAGTCCAACCATATAATATGCATCTACTAATGAGGGGAATAGAATTCTTTTTAGGGGGATAACCATTTGCCTAATTGAGGTTCAAAATTAGTGTTCCCTCTCATCAAATCAATTGCAGATGTTCATCTGTTAATACTGATCTGTGATGACATTTTATGTATTTCATTTTTGAAAATGTATTTTCATGCAGATAGGTATTGCCAGACACTGATCATCAACCCACAAGGATGTGATTTAATTGGGCATATTCATTGCTTGGAAGACACTTACAGAATTCTGTTTGTTTCTCTTGGTAATTTCCTCTTAACACATCATTACATTGCAGACTAATCTCCTTCCAGTTGCAGGTTAGGAGGAAGCTTCTCAATTGCACAGTTACATGGATTTTCAAATGTGGATATTTCCTTTGTGCTTGCATCAGGTTCCAAAAAATGTTGCTGGAACTGTAGTTTCAATTTGAAAAGATATGACCGCTATACATTTGTGCGGGAATGGAAGTATACCACAAGTTGCCGACTTTGGGCCCACATTAATGGAGATGGTGGGCTGCCAGGGAACAAGTCAGTGTTGCTTTAAGAGATCCTTACTTTCTTCCTGATTCTAGGTCATAGCCTGCAGTGCTACAACTGTCCTAACCCAACTACTGACTGCAAAACAGCCGTCAATTGTTCATCTGGTTTTGATACGTGTCTCATTGCCAGAGCTGGTAAGAGCCTACCCTGTCTGTCTCCTAAATGTAAAGGGGTAATAAGTACCTGGGAAGAAAATTGTGCCACTGTAATCGCCATTAGACTTGCATCAAGTAATAGCTGCTGTTTGTTAGCATCAGGTGTGTATTGCGTTAAGCACTTTGTCCATGCATTTTATTTTATTTTATTTTATTTATTTGTTTTTTGTTATACTTTAAGTTCTAAGGTACATGTGCACAACGTGCAGGTTTGTTACATATGTATACATGTGCATGCATTTTAAATTTAATGTTTTGTACTTCTAAGGGTGATCTTTTTTTCCATTTGATAAATGTGGAAACTGAGGCTCAGATTAAGCAACAAACTATTGTCAAGTAACCAACTCAGGAATTGAACATGGAAGTCCATCTGTTTCTAAAGCTTTGTACCCTTTAACAGAAGCCCTGTGCTGCCTCCCAAACCTTGGAGAACCTACTGTGTGCCCAGCAGAAGGTTAGGAGCTAGGGATGCAAAGATAAAGAAAAGACACATACAGTTAAAATTATGACAAAGGCCTGTTTGACTGTCCTACATGACTTTATGTATGCCTCTGTCTCATTCTATGGGGTATCTGGTATTTTCAGAGTCCTGAGGAGACTCAAGCTGAGCTCAAAGGACAAGTAGGAGGTAAGAGGGATAAGTAGGAGGTGTGCCTGCGAGGGGCAACATCTGGTACCAGGACTCGGTAGCCTCAGAGCAACGTGTTCATGAATGTGGGGGTGGGCAATACTAACATGCACCAGTCCTGTCCAGTCTGCATTTTCCAAATTTGTGAGACTACGGAATATTCACCTCCGTCAACCCTGTTAAAATGGAGTTTGGGAAGTGGTAGACAGAGGAAAGAAACCAGCAAAGACATGCCCTTCGTTCTTGCTGGTGTGGTTCTGGATAGAATCGATGTGTGCAAATGATGCCAGCGAGGAATGATGGTTTCAGAATGTTCTTAGTGTCCAAGGTAAAACCCCAGGCTTAGATTTCTAAGAGATTAATAATAAAAACACTCCACAAGGTTCTTTGTACTCTTAGATCTTCTACACCACCTCCCCCCAGTGTCAACATCAAGAAATGGTGAACATGTCAGGTAAACTCAGAAAAGCCTTGGGACACCCACAGATTCACAAAAGCCTGAGATAAAGAAGATTAACTTCCCCAGAAAGGAGAAATCCCTCAATAACTAAAGACAAATTATAGTTACCCTGTCTAAAAAACCAGGAGCGTCTGATAATTTTGATATAAATTGCTGAATTGCAGCTAAAACTGCAAACCCTCCGTTCAGAGTTCTTGATTCTGTAGGGGACCAGTCCCTCTGCCTCCATTGGAAGACCGTGTTCATTCACTGTTAATGTAGAAAGCGTAGTAAGGCCCCTAGAGAAAACGTGGTCATTATATATGAGCACAGAAGACCTGGCTCTTTAGCTTAATCAACTGTGTCTCTTGGACTCCTCACTACTAAGTATAATTAAACTAAGTATAATTTCCAAATGAGATGATCAGAGCAATTACTATGTGTTGAATGAATATTAGAGCAGCAATTAGGAGCACTGACTTCTGTCTTGCCACCAGCTAGTTCTCTCCACCTCTGTTTTTCATTTATGAAATGTATGTGTTGGACAGCAGAGGTAGAGAGGAGAGGAAAGGAGG